TATATAATTATAGTTTTAGTTTATAAAATTTACTAATAAATTTATTAGTATAACTATCTTTAATAGTGTACTATTCGTAGTACATCAAATTTTGCAAAAATTATAATTTTAAAAAAAAAATTTTTCTCAAAAGTTTTATTATTAATATTAAAAAAAATTTATTTATGAAATTCTATAATATTTATCAGATTTTTGTATATAAATTTTTTTTTAAAAAAATAATTTTTTAGATTATCGGTTGAGCATATAACGATAAACGGTGATGATCACCTGTGGAAGGGTCGACTAGATTCTGCTACAATTTTCCGAAAGTCATTTCCTGAAAGAACATAATACCGACTAAATCGGCCGGCATTAAATTAATGCCAGCTAGCTTTGTCGATATATGCCCTTTAGAGAAGAATGGCTTTTGGAAAATTGTCTACCTTTCTGCTATTATTGTCAGTGATGTTAATTTTGGCTTCTAGTGAGAATTTCTGGTCTTCCAGTGAGATTTTGCAATAGTAAAATTCCAGTGATACTATTAATTTTGCTTCCAGTAGACAACACTGAATAATACAGTAAATTACTGCATTATTGGTACGAAGCTTATGATTTTTTTTTAACCTTTGTGGATTTGTGGTACTCAGTGATGTTCTTGATGGCTATGTTAAATACTAAGAACAGCTGTTTTTAAGAGGAGTTCTGTTGTTTTCTGTGAAAGACAGTACCCTGACCTGCGGCGATATTTAGTAAAGCTCTAGGTTTTACATGCACCAGCAGATACAATCAATCTCTATAAGCCACTAGATAAACCAAATGTTCGATGAACTTCAAAATATAAAATTTTTTCGGATTAAATACTAAGTTACATTCATAAATTAAACTTTTGGAAAACTATTCTTAATCTCAAGGGATTCTTGATACTTATTATGAAACATGTATATTGATATTGATACAGTCGTACCTATATAATCACCTCTATAATCATATCATATAAAAACCTCTCTTTATCACGTTTTGTACTCAAGGACAAATCACTATTAAACTTATGAAAAACTACCTCTATATAAGCACAACCTCTTTATAAACACATTTTTTAAAATTCATCTTTCAATTTTCTTCATCAAATAGGGAAAAACCGACTTCGGGCTTTTATAATTTACCAGTCTCAACTATTCAGATTTTCAAGAATTTAGAGAGTTCTCAAGCACCTTCCTCAATGAATTTGGATAAACAATCTGATTGACCAATTTGATCAAACAGATTAATGAGGTTCTTGAGCCCATTGGGGGAGGTGCTTGAAAACGCCCTTAATCTAGTAAGTTATATGTTTAAAAGCCTAAAATTGGGTTTTCTTTGGCTTCACTTAGATAACGGTACACTTCAATTCATTTCGCTGTAATTTGTCGGAGCAACATCATTAATCGTAATCAAAAGAACGTAACCTGTGCAGGAAATATAACTATATGTGGGATTATAATAGAATAGTCGATAGCGATGAGAAGTTTTACGTAATACAAATATAGTAGATTGAATAAATTTATTGAAATAACAATTTATAATCTAGTTTGAATTGAATATTCGTTAAATTATAAATTCTTCATAACTTTTTTTTTTTCATGATAGGCTCGTTACAAATGCTAATATGCTATTTAACAACTATATTCCCTGATTTTTTCTTCCAATTTTTGTTTGTTTGCACCGACGACATCTTCACCGAATTTTTCTCCATTCTTGAAAAATCGAAAAGTAGGAAGAGCTGTGATGGATTGGTCCGTAGAAACATCCTTTATAAAAGGCCAAATTAATATTATATTTGATGGCAAAGAGTATTTATTATGAAATTCAAAAATAATTACTTGTTGCTTATCAGTGTCAACTTTAACGAATTTGACATTTTCAAATTGTTTTGAAAGTTTTTCGAATTCGGGAGCCATCATCCTGCATGGGCCACACCAATCGGCCCAAAAATCAACAACAACCTTTCATATAAATGCAACAAAAATAATTAATAAATTTGATGAATTCGAATAAAATTTGACAAAAATTATTACATACGAGCTGGTCTCCAGCTTCTTCTAATTGCTTATTGAAATCATCTTTACTTTGTATTGCGTAAGGCATTTTTGAAATATATAGCTTTTTTTAATCACTTCTCAATTTGAGATGAAGAAAACGAGAGCTTCAAAAAATGTGCGTATTTATATCAAAAAAAAATGATTCACACACAAAAAAAAAAAATTTATGGTAAAAAAATATGTCAATGAATCAGTTGATTTACGTAAGAAAGATAATCAATCCTTAATTAGAAAATGATAGTATGTACGCATAAATAACTGATTTGTCAGCTGTGAACCAAATTCCAAATTTAATGGTGCCAATAAAAATTTCACAAGTAAAACGTTATCATTATTGTTACCTTTTAAAAACAATCTACTATCTCTGAGATAAATAACACCATCGGAAATTAAAATTCCGTAAGGTTCCCCATATGTTGTATAATAATCTTTTATGGGTATGTTTGCGAAAATGACGTCGTTACCCGATTGAATAAATTTGTCTATCATCATTTATATGTCTTATTGAGATAAATATAATGTGTCTTGTTGTTAATAAAGAGTCATCAAAAACAAACGTGCAACAACCTTTTAAAGTTAATATATCAAAAAACAATAGAGCTTTTATTTGGGATGCGGAAAGTGAGTGTTGATCAAAAAAAGAAATTTATATCTTAAATTAGAAGTGTCCGAATTAAACAATTATCCGTTACCTTCAATTCAAAGCCGTTCATAAGTTACGTAAAGATCATCGTATAGTCGGCTCATTGGTCGGTAGCCTTCCTCGATATCCATTACAAAATCAATTTCTTGGGTTACCTCTTTCTTTAATGCCCGAGGAGGTGACGTTACTTTTATCTAAAGGTTTTTTTTTATTTTTTGAAAAATATAATTAATGCTGTTTAATAATATGACTAAAATTTTCGTTATAATAGGAATTATTGTTTTAATTGATGATGAAAAAAGCCACTTAATACCTACAAAAACGCAAATTGAAGAATTTGAAAAAAATAAATCCGAAAATGAGAATCAACAATTGCAAGATTATTTATGTTTTATACAAGAGAAGAGAGCTAAATTCCAATCTTTAAAGAAAGATAAATTTAAAGAAAGCGATGTAAAGAAGACAGAAAATAATCCTGCTAATGATATTAATGATTCATCTTCCCAACAACGTCAAACTACATCACAACTTGAACATGAATCTTCTCTTATTAAAGCTTTTGCTCCAACTACCACTATTAAAACATCATCGACCTCATTTGCATGGTACAATGATAACGATTATTGTTTTGATTCTCTAGAGGTAGCTAGACTAGCTGGATTGTGGACATGGCCATCGACACCGAAAGAACAATATAAATATAATATATATTGTGATCTTTGGAATCGTGGATATTTCATTACGAGTGGTATCAAATTTGGAGGGGATTACTTGTTATATCCAGGTAATTAATATGTTTAGTTGCACGAATATAATTAACATTATTATTATATTTTAATTTTATATTTATGCTTATTTTAGGCGATCCTCTACGTTATCATAGTCATTTTATAGCAACAATTATTGATATGAATAAGGAAATATCGGCCATGGATATTATTACATTTGGTCGTATGGGAACGGCCGTCAAAAAATCTTATATGTTATGCTCGTGGAATACGAATGAGGACAAAGCAGTATATGTATGTATAGAATGGGCTGGATTTTAAATATTAATAATTTATAATAACCATTTGATTATAATTTTAAATAATAAAATAAGTGGTAGTTATTACACGGATCCTAATTGTTCACCCATGACTTTTTTTTGCTGATATTCTCACGGTTGACATTTTCACGGCGGACATAAAAATATCAACCGTGAGAATATCAGTAAAAAAAGTCATGGGTGGACAATTAGGATCCGTGTAATAAATTTTATATTTTATATAATCCCCGATCACTATACCAAGATCACGGGATTAATGAACAGTATTCTGATCCGTAAATTAGCCGAACGAAGTTTCCGCTAATTTTCATTGATTAAACATGCGCGTTATTTTGAGACGCGCATGTGATAGTACGATTTTCGAAATAGCGCTCATAAACGTTATTATGCGAAAATACAGCATCAGAAATACAAATTTTAAATTTAGTATAATACGTTTAATTGCACTCGTGTTAATAAGGTTGATTTGAGGAAATTGAATATTTTATTTTTGAACTTTCTATGCTTCCATCTATAAAATATTAGAAATTTAAGTATTTGATCTGCATTAATAAAGCTTCTGGTTCCACATAAGACATTACTTCGTAAATGTCATTATAAAAACATTAGAGTTTGGAACCGGTTTTATTTTTCACATTATATTTAAATCCAAGTATTTATTTGCCTGAATTAATCTATATCAGCAATTTACATTTCATATAATTGCTGAACTTTTAGATCTTATTAATAACGTTATAACTTTTTTCAAAGTGATCTCTAAAGTGTGGATGGTTATATCATCCAATTATGTTGCAGAAATACAATGACGATTTTATCGATCTATCACATGTACATAAGTTTAAATTTGGGTGTCAAAAAGTCAAAATCGGTCCTTAGCCCGGACTATTTTAGAAAGAACCAAGTCCTAATAGTAACATCTAAGATTTGGGCTAAATTTAATTTATCTAATTTTGTGTTGTGCACGGTCTTTTTCCATAAATGTTCGAAATAATGGACTTTTCGAAAATTCGGTTCCTTTAAAAATAGCCGTTCACGTGGGCGCCACAAAAATAAACACGCAATTCATAATCTTTATTATGCATAATATTATATTGTAAACAATAAGGCACAGTAAATTTCCAAAATATATAGTAAAATGAGTTACATTATACGTATCGGTATTGTAGCGATAGGGCTGATTTGCAGTATTGATACGTAGCATAATTCAGCCACTTTATTTTATTTTACATATTGATCTAACAAATTAGCTTTTTATACCTACAAATTAGTGATGGGACCTCTTGAATTAATAATTATTAAATACGAATTCGAAAGTTCCATCACTATTTACAGTACATACTTTCTAAATCGTTGATTCAATAGTATTTGTATTTATTGCTTTATTTGTCACATTGGAGATGCGATCCGAATGTCCGCTAGTTTTTATTTTATACGTATAACAAAATTATTATGAAGAATCCGGATATTGGTAAATAAGAAAACGGATAATGGATCGCATCTCTATGTCACACTAGTTCCGTAGTATCTGATAATCTAACTGCTATTAGTTCTTTATACTAATCTATTTCACTCCAATAACTACAATACATTATTTGACACCACAGATTTTTTTGATACGAATACACGAAAACTGGAAAATTTAAATATTATAATATTTTCAAAGTTTAGTTAGGTTGGAACTTTAAGGGCTAGTTTTGATAATAAAGAGTGTAATTAGTGTTGGCGGTGGAATTACTGAATTACGGCATTCTACCATATCCGATATCTGATATGGTAGAATTAATTACGGCACAGAACCTAATTGCCGTAAATATTATGTACCGTATTGCCGTAGTACCGCAATGCCATAATCCCATAATGCCACAATGCCGTATTGTCATAATGCCATAATGTCGCAATGCCGTAATATCATAATACTATAGTAAGTAATAATGCGATCCCGTAATACTATAACATTATAATAATTATAATAATATATACTTAATCAGTGATCTTTATATACATCATTATAAATTTTATAACTTTAGGCGCTGGACTTTTGCTTTAATAATAAAATTATTAATAGTAATAATTTGATTATTGTTAATAATCCCTATGTGATTACGTTAGAAAACTGCATATTACAGTATATGTAAAATCATAATAAAATTAAACTGATAAATTTTGAAATAGAGAATGATTGATTTCCAGCTTCAGCCGCGGTAATTAATAAAACTAATTCTGTTGACCTTCTCCAATTGTATAATAACCAAGCTGAAAAAATTTCTATCTAAATCAGTGAGTTCTGGTCGATGATCCACACCCTGCCGGATACATGATGGTGATGATCCACAGCATATTATTTTATTTCATATGCCTTATCGTACATACTTTTTTTGAATCGTGATGACTATTGTTGCAGCTGCTGTGGCAGGAAGTCGATCATCTACCATCATCCAGCAGGGTGTGGATCATTGACCATCATGTAACCAGACTTTGGGGAGCCGCCCTGTCGAACTCGCTAAAAAACATCGATGATATTGTAATGCTTTGATAAATTTTGATTTATTTATCTTAACGCGTACTTGAAATATTTAAAACAACGCGGTATGCTGTTATACGGCAAATCAAGTTACATACTGTTACGTATGTAAATACACAGACTCAAACTATTAATAACGTGAAGATTACTAAAATTAAAATTTGGTATCTAAAATATCGAATGAGATTTAAACAGTTCCATATTAGTAATAAACAATCGTCTTATCCACCTACATCTACCAGCCAACATGCTAACTAATAAATGTACAATTAAAAAAAGTTGCTAATGTATTAATAAGATGGCCTTTTGACTTTGATTTCTGCATTGTTAGTGGCAAAACTGCCAAAACTCACTGCGCCGAATTCGATGTCACGAGGTGAAGGAATCGTGAGAATCAGTTTTCCCCAAAGTCCCAGGACCACGGCAAAGAAGATGAGGTGCAATCAGCAAATCCGTGGCGAGTCCATCTGTTTGTAAACAGAGAGCCAAGTAAAGCCAAAAGTGGCATGCTTTGGTTTGCGGGCTTAGACTAGAAGAAGAATTAGATTAGAAAAGTTCTTTTTTTTCTCTTCTGTTCCCGCATGTAAAATCATTATAAATTGGGTTTGTTTCGCCCTAAAATAAAGGACAGACAGTCGTGTTTGCAGGAGAACGAAATTAAGTGACTTTTAGTTCCCCATACACCCGATACGCCTTACCTTGCCAAATCGTTTCCGCCTCTAAGTATCGAGTGTATAGGGTGGTTTGTGGTTTGGTTGTTGTTTTGGTGGTGATTGGGTAGTCCGCATTCCCGCCCTTTTCCCACTAACAGCATTTATTCAAATTCACAAGATTTCGATATGTTTTTATAGGATTATTTTGTCACTCTTCTTTAGGAGCACATTATAACTCTTATTTTAGGTAAAAATTATATGCTATTTACACGTTAATTAAGAATCAGGACTTTTGCCTACTCCAGTATATGATAATTACGAAAAAGCATAAAAAAAAAAGAGTACTAAATGAAAACCAGGAAACTATGTGATGTTATGCGGGTAAATGGGTCAAGTGTTGTATAAACGATTAAATCGTACTTTGGTTTTATTTGATTTAGTCAATACGTATACATCTTGCTATTTCGCTCAGTTTCTCATTCACATTAATTTAGTCGGCATATGTAACCTGCTATTTCGTATACAATTGCTTCACAGATAATTTGGTTCACAGACAATTAATTTACAGGCAAGGTTAATTTAATTTACAGGCACAATTTACTTAACCGATAGCTCAATTCAAGGACAAATTAGTGCTACTTATAAAAAAAAACCATCTATGAAATGAACTGTTGGTGGGTGAAATAAACTGTCTGTGAAATGAACTTGTTTATGAATTAATCGTCTGTTAAATAATGATGCAGGCATTTTGGAGTAGTGATTACTTACGGCATTACGGCTATGACATAGAGGTCGAGGTTATATTACCGTGAGCGATGTAGTATGCCGTATAGCGTTACTACCTTGAAAAATTTCGCTGGCCAATCAAATTTCAAGTAAACACAAAAGTCAATAGTTTTGTACGTACGAATTTCATATACCATCCACCAATTTGCTGAATATATATAACAAATCCTCTTTTGCCAATTTCTTTAACATTATATACTGTATAAGCGCGAAATAACGCCCACCTACGCTAATTACCGTACAGTGTGGACCAAAGTACTTTACAATTTAAGCAGTATATATGGATATTATAGTCGGATGGATGCTATGGTCAGCGTAGGGATATAAGTTGTACTTTATGAGTGCCGCAATAATGTTTTATATATTCTAAGTGATTAATCCATTTTTAGTACCCGGGTATTTTACATTCCCAAGTGCAATTAATCCGTCTTTAGTACCCGGGGTACTTTACATTCTGGGCCTCTGAAAATCGAGAGGGGTATTACAGTCAACTTTCCAACTGCACGTTTTTGGGTAAAAGTACATTTATAGAATATTCATTTATGGAGCATAATCTACATATGAGTGCCGCCAAGGGAAAACCTGTTCGTAGGAGTTTCAATTATATTTGTATACAGTTGGCCGTCTATGGAAAATTTATAGATGGCTAGCTGTACACAAAAATATAATTGAAACTCCTACGACAGGTTTTCCCTCGGCGGCACTCATATAACGATAATATTAAATAATTACATTAGACCAATCAAATTATGTGCACTTATCATTATAGGGAAAGTGCATGCCAAATGCCATGCTTTAAACGTGTTGTCTTTATTACATTAAAAATTTATTGTTGATGATAATCTGAAGGGTATTTGCTGAATCTACCGATTAATAGATCATGCTCAAAATTAAGGTGAGTCATACAAGTATCGCCGTGATATTTTTGCTGGGGTAGCTACCTCCAAAACTTTAAATGTCTGCACCTCCTGTTAAATAATCTTGCTGTCAGCAGATCCCGTTACTACAGGTAAGAACGTTGATGTTATACGACTGAATTTTCACACGGCGTGCAACATATAAAAAAATAATTTTACAATACCAGATCCAACACCATTTTTATTAGTAAAAATGGTGTTGGATTATAATCATAACATGTACTAACAGAATGATCTGGTATTGTAAAATTATCTTTTTATATGTTGCACACCGTGTGAAAATTTAGTCGTATAACATTACAGCATTTCGCGCTGAGGTGCAATTTCAGACTTTGGCCCAAATTAAGCTTAATTCGGGTCATTATTTTAAATGATGCCATGATTAAAAATAACGATTAAAGTAGTTAAACGACGCGATTAAATGTTATAAATTATTTATGACTTCCTGGTATTCATTTGATGACACTCAAATAATGAATTTTACTTAAAAATGATTTATATTATTTATAAAATGAATAATTTATTAATCCCCATGACTTCCCCTAATTTATCCAATATAAGATTTCTAATATAACCGAATAAATATAAATATAAACTAAAAATAAAATACCGAATCTTTTAAAATATATACATAGTTTTACATTTAAAAATAATAATAATAATCTTTTAGTCGTTACATTCATTTTCATATTAAATTAATTTAAAATACCCCGCACTGAATATTTGAAAAATAATTTAAAGAATATTGGATCTAGTGTCGTCAAAGAATTTACCCAACAATAATTTCCCTTTTTCTAATTCTTCATTTTCATTAGTAGGTGAATCTGCGCGTGTTTTGGTTGTTGAACTTGTGCTTGATGACATTTTAGATACAACCGTGCTATTACTTTCCTTACGCATATGAAAATTCGATAAAGCGAGCTGCCTACTCAATGAATCGGATTTTTCATGTACTTTTGACCTAAAACGAAAATATTAAATTAATTGTGCATTCATATGATAAAATTACGATTTTAAAAAAATAACAAAAGTAAATGTTGTAAATATTAATATATACTTTGATGATATATCACTTGGTTTATGTTTTTCTTCACTCTCATTGCTAACAAATGATGCTTTGTCCGAGAATTCCTCCCGTTCCTCTGCATTATTTGAAATTTCACTTATATTATCAGCTACCAAAGATGGTTGGTCTGTAGTTGCAGAGGTTGTCGAATCTAAAGTATGGACGCTCATTTCTGAAGGTGTTGTGGGTCTACGTTTTTGATAAGGGTTTAATTTTTCTCTCAGTAATGCTGTAGTGTGGTTGAGAATAATTTTAATAGCATCTAAATAATATAAAATCAATTAGATCACTACGAAAATGTTAAAATTATTTAAATATTTAAATATGCTTGGACCTTTCTTCAATTGCTCTATAAAATCCAACCATGACCATGTCCTGTTCTGGTATTCTAATGTAGGCAATTGAATAACAAAGTCATACAAATCTTCTAAATTTTTTTCTTTCGCCCCCTATAAATTAATATAATTAGCTATTTGAAAAGATTGAGGATTGATGCAACATTTATGTTTTAAGAGCAAACCTGATAACTGAAGCTGTGTACTACTCCTGGAACTTTGATGTAGATAAATTGTTTATTTTGAGATGCCCTTTTCTTCATTAACTCTAATTCATGCGACTGATCCGTCTTTTGTGATGATGGTTTTTTTGTGTTCTGTTTATTGGTCTGAGTTGTCGATCCTGAAGTAATCAACATTTCATCTTCCGAAAAAATTTCAGCATCAAAGTTAATTTCGTCAGAATTTTCATCGTCTAATCTGGATTTTGGCGTTTTTGTCGTTTGTTCTACAAGCACAGTTGGCCTTTTATGAGGCGCTGGCGCATTAGGATCGACTAGCTTCTCGCGATTAACGTATTCTGCCTTCTTTTCAGGAAAGAAATACATCATTATAAGTTTACCAACATCATACTGCATTTGAAATTTAAGTGGAAACATATCGATTTCGAAATGTTCAACGATATCGATGCCAGCAACAGGTTCCAGCTGTCCCCAATATACTCGTAGCATTTTATGAAGACTAAAATCTATTTGACGATGATCCGGGATATATGGACCAACTAATTCTTTAAAAACAGGTGATGGGAGTTTATTAATTACGCGAAGATGATCGATCTCTAGAGTATTTGCTGAGGTTTCTTCCTTTGTCATCAAACCGAAGCGTGCATTTTCCAGACACCATTCACAAAATTTTCTATTACTATCTCGCATCACCCATTTGACTTCACCAACAATTACCACTACCTTCAAAGCCATTTTACTTTCCGCCTTTTGTTTTCTATTTTGTGAAACCGTGATGGCCTCCATTAATAAATACAATTGTTCTTTGAAGCCTATTAATTCAATTTCAACCGCTCGAAGTTCTTTAATATCATCTTTATTAAGATCCGGTAATTGTATTTCATAATGATGTCGCATTTCATCCAGTTGACGGATATGTTCTTGTAACGACGATACTTTTTCCGCCATTCCATCAAGATCGTCCAAATCAGCTGCGAGAAGGATTGTGTTCAATCTTTCCACTAGCTCCTTTTTGGCTGGCTCACGGTACATAAGCAAATCCTTAATAACATCAATTATGAGATTAAATTGTTTGGAAGTGGCAGATAACTTGATTTTAGGAAAATCTATGTGCCATGAATCCATTCTTTTGTCAAAATCGTCTACATCGGAATCACCAAGTTCTCGTCGGTCTGCTTTCGGCTCTGAATCATCTTTCTTAATGTCACTGCCTTTGATACGCAAGTTATTGAATTTATCATATTGCATCTTAGCTGACGTTCGTTTAATTACTCTTTTAAATGGCAATAAATTTTCTTTGGAATGATCAATCAATGCTTCAGGAGGAATCCAAACAGGCCAATTTTCATTACCTTTAGAGCCATAATTATTATCGGACAAAATCTTTGAAAGACTAGTACGGAAATCTATTTTTGAACTGGTAAAGAACTGAACATGATCCAAACCGAAAAAATTTCTTGTTTTTACTACTTCATTAATAATGTCACCTTTGGACCAATCTTCCACAATAGAGAAGATTTTAATCTGAGCTCTTTCCAAAAACATTATAATACTAGAGCTTGGATTTTTGTCACACTGGAAATTTACCTGAAGATTAATAAATTGAATTAGATAATTACTCAATAAAGAATAACCTTCAGGGATATCATCATGAGCATTTCTGGAAGTTTCGGTATAATTCTCATTATGTTTATGTATTGTCTCGTTTTGGACAATGAAATTGGCGTCTTTCTCTCCAACAAGTTTCCTTAACATTTCAGCAGCCAAATGTGAATCAAAATCGTAATTATCTGCACTGTTTAATATGGTATCATCATGTAAAGATTGCTCATAAATTTCTCTTTCCATTTTCTGGCGAATATTTTTCTGCATGTCTCTGATAAAAGTGACAGCACTCGTGGACATATAATATGTAAGCCCTTGATGTTGTTCGATAAGATCCCATAATCTATACATTAAATTCCTTAAAGAATTATTCCATAATGCCTTAGCATTATGTATAACAATATGATGACCAAAATTGCTTTGTGAATCTGCCCACAAAGATGAATCAAAATTAGGGATTTCATTAATGTCACCGTCATCAGGATCATCAGGGTTTACATCTTTGAAATCTCTTGATTCAGGATTGCTAATGCTCTCTTCCAAATTCTTCATAAAATCTTGGATAATGTTGCGTTTTTTTGAAAGCGTTGAAGTGGCTTTTTGAATAGATTGAGACTTTATAATTGATTATTGTTAGTATTATTGATACGAAAATAGTTAAGGCATAAACATTGTAAACTCACCATGTCTTGGAGTTCTTGACTATTCGGGCTATTAATTATCTTATCTTCAATTTCTGATAATAATTTAGCTTGTTGTTTGATGTCTCGGCTAAGTTGATTTGATCGTTCTGCAAGAAAATCCAACTGGATTTGTCGCGTGTCTACAAATTGTAGAAATTATTACCACATTAAGTTATTACAATATTGTTCTACAAAACAATCAAATAAATAAATAAACATAATTAATTAATTAATATACCTCTTCCTTGTCCCATAAGACACTCATGTTTCTCGTGGTCATTTTTCTTTTCTTCCTCAGTTTCTTGGACATCAGCCTTCTTATAATACATCATTTGCGGACTTCTTAACAATGGTAATACTCTCACACCAGGTTTTGCATCGGGTAATTTACATTCCAATTCAACATAATCATCGTCGTCAACCCATTGTTTATCCTCTAAATTCATTTTCAAAAAGTCTTCATCTTTTCCCAACAGCTCTTCTTTTCGGTATGTTTCATCCCCATCAAAATGAGGAAATACTCCTTCCATGAATCGAATTGCAATGCCTCGAACATCTAAATCTTTCAAATCAGTCTCCGCCTCATGAAAAATCATATCACGGCTCTTAACCTCTTTTCCTTCTAAAGTAATCGTATTTTCTTGCATCTTAAGAAGAATGTCTTGTTTAAACTTCCCAATTTTGGCTTTGAGTCCAACTATATTCATTGTACCATCGAGTGGATCATATAATGAGTCTTCTCTATAAAAACTACTTAAAAACAATGCTTCTACACATATTTTTAGTTTGACCGATCGTAAAAATTTTGGAAATTTGAGGGAGGGAGGTAAAAGAGACGGAAATAATTTCCCTTGACGAATTGGAACTGTCATTGCAGGATCGAATAATGACGCCCAAGATATTCCATGCATAATTGCATTAGGACTTGACCGTATTGAATTTTTTGGACCTTGATATTTGTCGTATTGTCGCATGTCTACAGACTCATTCCAATCTAATGGACAAGTAACGCTTACTGACAGATGAATAATATCTGACCGAAATCCTCTAAAGGAATCATGCACCTATATGTTGACAAGGGTATTTGGCTTATTAAATATTTAAATATATTTATATATATAATATAAAATTAATTAGTCTTTATACTCACTTCTCCTATTGGCGCAGTGGCATATTCCGGCAGTATTGTAGATATTTGATAATGAGGAATAAAATCTTTAAAGACACATTTTCCCTGCCCATTACAAGTTGAACACACCCCTGGATTAAGGAGACAACTGCGATTAAAGTGACATCCTATCCCATACCTAACGCCACCACGAAGATCCATAATTTTCATTAAGAATTTAAAATAAGGACTATCTGAAACTAGAACATAATCAGATGAAACTTGTGTTTTAATTGAATTTGTTTCCTGATTTTTAGCAACATCATTCTGCACTTCTTGGGATTCAAATAATGCACTATCAGGGAATAAGCCTCCGTAAGAAACCAGAGCTGCTAGGTTAGGTATGGCTATAGTGAATTCTTCACTTTCTATTTGTAGTAGTTCATTTTGTTCATTTGCAAATCCTAATCTAACTTCTATGTTTTTTCTCCAGCATAAAACAAAGCCAGCACCTGAACCAGTAATATGGTAAGGATCTCGTGAACCTTTCGAGAAAAACTGAACATTGCTGTTACCCTTAAAGTCCATTAATATTTGAAAGTGCATCATGAGCCTAATTTTATCCCAAAATCCAGTGGTTTCAGATGGATCCGGATTTGGCTTTGAGAAACTTTCAAAAATTCTTGCAAGATCTTGAATAGCAGGCTGTGTAGCCATACCCCACGAAACGACAGTAGGACGTGGTGAACTTATGCTGATATGAAGATCAGAATATAATTTTGGAGGTGTGCACGTACGAGGTACGACGACATCATAATCTTTACCACAAATAAATTGAGAAATAATTTGCACGCCAATTCTTCTTGTTGATTCAACTCCTTTCAATTCTTCACCAACTACAAAATGACCTTCGATATCACATGAGTATTTCTCCTCACCATTAATTGAATTAGCCGAAGGGATGTGCGCTAACGGTAAAGGATAATCACGAATCTCGGCCCAAGCTTCATTTAGCTTGCAATTCAAATGCATGGGTACTAAAAAAGCAAATTTAGTATCCAAAGGTAACCCTTTACCCATTTTATGCATGTAATGAGGTAATTCGCTCATCGGAAACAAGGGTGCAGAAAGAACCAATGAAATTTTCTCTACGGTAATTCTAAATAATGCAGGATGCCGAGACCGCGTGGCTAATGGAATAGGAAGGTTATCACATGTATATTCGAACTTTTGTTGTAATATTGACGTTTTCACACACTTTATCCAATTTCGAGAATTGTATTCATTGAGGGCAACACGTGCTTTATCAATGCTCAAATTTGCTCGTGGAGTAGGTTGAGATCGTAAAGGACCACCATTCTGTAATGATGATACATTAGCGTCATTTGATGCTAATCCACCTTCTCCATTCGTGTTCTGATGATATTCATGTGACCTAATGACTTTAGCTTTTGCTTCAAATGCTGTTTCCCTTCCCAATCTAGACTGTTGTTCTAAACACCCAAGTTTCCAAATAGCAGAAAGTTTTGCTTCAAACGGATCATCTTCTAGTTGGAAGGTTACAATCCCAACTTTAACTTGAATGGTTGGCAAATATTTTGGCCCTTCCTCTTCCGGATCTATGATACATATATTTTCAGGAACGAAGACACGCTCTTGCAAATGTTTTATTACCTTAGTTAAATTAACAGCACTTTCAATAACATTCGCAAGAATATAATGGTATGGAACACGGACATGAATGGCTTCTGTCTGAACTCGTATCAAAATTTTATTTTGATTCTTATCAAGAGGCAACTTTGCAGAATTTCGTTTTGTATCATCATCATTTAAAAGTAAAATCTGTGCGTTTTTAATATTTGCAAGCTCATCCCATAGTCCTTCCTCACTTGGACTTGTACCAAAAGCCCGTAAACATTTTATATGGAATCCGTGATCATCGATAGATGCAAATCTGTATTTTGAATCATCCAATCTAATGAAAAGTTTTATGTCATCCGGTAAATCGACAAATACGTCAACATGATTTAATAGAATATTTGCCTCGATTTGAAACGAACTAACGTTCTCTGTCATTGAAGTAGAAGGTATTGTGCCAGTATGTTTCTTCTTTTTTATCGATAACGGTAATAATTTTATTATATTCATTACGCCTACCAGGCAGCAATAATGATATGATAATAAATATTTTACACGAATTTCGGAAACTTTCACATCTAACTTGGATGAATAATTGTGTGTGCGTTCAACGCTCAAATTATTTTGAATTTCAATCTCTGGAATGGACAACAATGGGACTGTGTTTTTTAAAAGTTCTTTATCCCAAAGTGCCATAATGGGCGTTATATTAAAACCTCTTATAAACCCTCGGGCGCGTCCGCCGGTTTCACATCGAAACTCAGTATCTTCATCAGTTGAGAGTCCAAGGCCGATTCTTTCATTATAACCTCCAGTTGGATCAATAGAAGTTCTAGAACCTCTATGATCAAATGTAATTCCTTGAAGACGTATGTCAAATCCTCTTGACGTTGTAGAGTCTACTGGAGAATCAACTTCAGCAATTCTTATACCCAACGAAGACAAGGAAACGCGAAATAATAAAACCTCAAAATACGTTATTATCGATTGATATGAATTGGATGACGGTGAAGGAACTGGGTGGTTTGAACTTGCATCCTTTATTGGAATTATATTAATCATAGTATTGATAAGTCGTTGTAACAATTCAAAAGTTTTTTTTTGACATATTTGTATTTCCATTCCATCAATTAGTGAACCGATATCTATTTGAATCGTTTCTAACTCTAATAGAGGAGTATATGTTGTTGTTTCCTCTTTATCGATATAGCTTGTGATAGTGCCTAGGGCTGATGTGATGAAGTAAATTTCCCAAGAATGGTTAAGTATTAGGTCATTCTCAAATGTGTATAATCTCATTCTCTGTGTCTTTAGATTTGCAATTAAATTATATACCACAGAGAACGTTGGAGGCTTCCAACCTTTGCTATATCGTCTAGACACTGTACTATTATGTTTTGCCGTAGGCAAATCATTTAGATCAGTATAATCCCCGTTTACATCAAATAAAATATTTTGAAATCCAAAAATAAGTTGCGAATTATCAGACTTGATATTAGATGATGGAATTTCGGTGATTTTTATAAGTGGGTTAACAATAGATATCGTTGCAATCAATTTGGGAATATTTTGCAATTTTTTTTGTTTTTCTTGTTTTTCTGTAGGCTTAATTTGAACAGATGTACGTTCTTCTTTAAAATCTTCAACATTTATAGAATTTACAACACTCTCAATAACACCAAAATGGCCATAATCAAACGCTATTTCTGGAGAAACAATATTCAATTTTCCAGTAAAGAAAAATAGATTCGGGTCATATTCAACAGTACGAACCAAAGGTTTTGAACAAGTTATCTCACTTGAAATCGTACAAATCTGCATCATTCTGAACATTCCCGAAGTATCAGTAACATCACAATAAAGACCATTGAGTAAAATGTTCATTTTTAATTCTAAAGGGTTGGGCATATCATCAGAGAAAAGCGAAGGCATTGATTTTCGAGGTGGATTTATCGTAGACTCATTTGATTGTTCCATTATTTGTTCCAGAGATGCAGAGAGTTCCATGATTGTGAATTTGGTACTTATTGGCACAGAACTTATATTTTCCAAATTGGAAAAACTATACGTTATATTTATATTTCTGACGTCGACTTTAGATGTTTTAAGAAACTCAATTGGTGTCTTTTTTCTACGAGCCATTCGCATCCTGCGAACGATTAACAAGGACGCCATTTTGAAAGTTTTTTTGCGTTGGCCTAGTTGTGGCTGACTAAACCTTTGGGATTCAGAGGGACCTCTTGTCACCTTCTTCGGTATAGCTGCTTGTATAGATTTGATTAAACTAAGGATTGAATCTATACATACATTGATATCTTCAAAAGACACATTAATGTCAAAAGCTAAAAGTGATGTACAGGCAGCCGAAAGATAACAAGAAAGTATAATAGTGGACATATTTGGAAACTCAATGGCTGATGTTACGTTTTTTTGATTATTCAAATATAATTTTGCAGATGATATATCTCGAATAGATAATGAAGAATAAGAAAGTGTGATTCTGAGAAGTTTATTTGTAAATAAATGAAGTCTATTTCTGATGGAATGTTGAGAATTTGTATGACTCTGATTCGTTTGATTTAAATCAACATTAGCAAAAAGAATCATTCCAAGAGTTATTTCATTTACTTTAAATTGACCTAGATCCTCAACCAATACGTCGACATTGGTAATATTCACGTCAACGCAACTTGCTATCCAGGATACGACAAATTGGAACGGTATTGCTGAAATTTTTGCCATTATATATTTAACCAACCAAACAGAAGACCACCACGCTTTTTGTGGTACTGCCATGATCAAACTTGGCTGTCGTTTATGTTCGAGCTTTCGAGACTGAGATTGGGTGAACAATCGTATTGAGGACAAAACAACACTAACATCATCGATAGTGAGCGTAACCCATGTCCTGTATCCATTATGTGGCCGCCGTATTTGTAAATGTATTTTATTGACGGATAACTTATAGGAATGTTGTTGGCGTGGTGAACCTGTAGTACTTCCAGAGTAAGATAGATCTGACAATGAAAGAAACCCAAAAGATCCTACGTGTATTTTGAACTTTTTTTCAATAAAGCGTGCTAAGAATAGTGGGACATAGTATAATAGTACACTTAATATTGTTGCAAGGAAAAGTGCTTTGAATACGGCGCCGAAATTATAAATCATAATTATACGTACGTATAAACCTATAAAACGAAACGATTATATTTTCTTAGATTTTTGTGCTTTGAACCCTAAATGTGATTGAGATTTAGGGCACATAAAATTTTTCTGCAGTGCTACGTAAATTAATGAATAATGTATCGGGTAAGCCAATTGAAAAATAACCGTCGGTCATTGATCAGAGTTTTAGAATTTTCTGAAAAATATTTTTGTTAATGAAATTAACCACGTGATTATTTAAAAATCAGGATTTAAATCCTGTTTCAAACATATTAATAACTGTGCTTTAATACAGCAATGATTATATGATTTTAGATTGTTAGATGTTCAATGCGTCTTGCATCACGTGAGTTATTTGTATCGCATTACCCTGTTGTTGTTTATCAACGGGATCGAAGCACGTACCGTATTTTATAAATTGCTAAAAATAGTAGATTATATAGAGTAAAAATCATTTAGAGATTGACGATATTTAAACATTAAAGCTAGCTTTTTTAATATAGTCCAGGTCGGAATACATCAGAATTAACAAATTTGAGCATGATAATTTTGCCATGGGCGTAGTTCGCTGGTATTACTTAATGCCGGTTAATCCATTACTCGGAAAATTTGCATAATGCAGGGAAATTAAAAGTTTAATATCGATACGTATTAATATGCAGTCTAATGCGTGTAACCTGGATAATAATATATCCATACCCGAAAGATAATCTAACATCTCACTGTGGTAGTACATTAAGATTCTAGAACTATCACATTCTGATTGGACGAAATCGATGATTTTTAATAATATTAAGAAACTTTTTTTATTATATACAAAAATTAATATATAAAATTATATATATATACTGTATATATTTATTGTATTATGGACGATCTTAATACTCACCAGAGGTGAAATTCGAATCATCCAGGGCGACCATAAAAAGTGCAGTAACGTGACCTGTAGTGCAGCCAAACCAAAACTGCGCACAACTTTA